GGTGCTGTAAGCACAAAGGGAGGCATAAGGGGCCAGAATCCTTTGAGATTCTGTCTATGTCAGGGAAGAGAGGCATAAGGATCATGAATCCTTTGAGATTTTGTCTGGGTCAGAGAAATCTGTGATGAAATGTGATTTAAATGTTTTCTGAAATCTGTTCTGAACTTTGTTTTGAATTCTGATTTAAATAATTATGTGACGTAAATTTGATTCAGTTCTTCTGTCTCTGTTACTTCATTTGTTCTGAACGAACATAAGTATTCTGTTTGATTTATGTTCTGTGTGAATCTCTGACCTCTGTCTGATATTTTGATTGTTGTACGATTATCTGAATTTTGTTTGGCAAATGTTTTTAACGCCTTCATGCGTATTTGATATGAGAGTTTCTGGAGATTTTGATTGGCTAGTATAGTCTTGCTGAGCTGTTAGCTCATCCTTGTTATCTGCGAGGTTTTCAGGTTCTGGGAAAGGGAATGAGGTGTTGGACTAACCATTCTGTGTCTGATCTGATATTAGGTATTTTTGTACTTTTGATTTTTGTACGGTCATGGCTATTTTGTTCTTTTTGTTTATAGTCATGCACTGTATTGTACATAATTATTTTGAAGAATGAGAAGAAAGAAAATGATTGATGAATTGTTGTATATTGGAAGTTTATAGTAGCTCTGTGTTTTCTATATGATTATTTGAAAGAAAGTCTGAAACCAAATTTCAAAGCTAGATCCTGGATTCATCCGTCGCGACTCGACGCGATGGGATTCGTTCCGGTCTGATTAGGTCGTGACACCAAGCATCCTTGGGTCTAACCAAAAAAAGATAACCACTTCCAAACCTATGAGTTACCAATATATAACTCCGTTTGGAAAAATATATTTTAAAAAAAAAAATTCAAATAGCATACAATTCTAAGATAAGAACTTTGTTAAAAGAAAAAGGAATTGCCAGGTGACCCCCCACAGCGAACTAGGGCTCTGCACAGAGAAGCCATAGAAATGATCCTTAAACTAAGCTAGAGCTGTATCATAAGCTCTAAGTTGTTTCCACGATTGCCTTGCTTTACTTAGGCTATATAATGCTAGGAATTTGAGTGAACAGAAATGAAAAAAATAAGTTGAAAATCTCAAATATATGACTGTTGATTAGCAATCAATCCGTGAACTATTTGTATTTCATCTCATTTCCCTCACTTCCCTCCAATCCAAACACAGCCAAGGTTTAGGATTCGCTTGATGCGAATAAAGAAAACGGTGAGGATAATGATCGTACTCTCGAAGAGCGAGAGAACCCAGTATTGGGCGCTTGCATGACTCGATCTGCCATCCTTTGATCCGAATGCCACAGCGGCCATCCGGAAGCGCTTCCGCCCCTGCCTCATTGAGATCCTTCTCCGTGCCGACGCCGTTCTCCATGAAATCGCTACGCCGAGAGCACAGGCCTGAAGAGAGAGCTCGAGAGTGAAAATCTAAGGCCACCGGGTCCTGGCAATTAGAAAGCCTGATGGCCCGAAGGGTTACAATTTTTTCAGTGATTTAGGGGCGGTATGCTTTGAAGCAAAATTGCTGCACTATTTCAAATGTAATTATTTTGAGTATATTGATATTTGTTTTGAAATAAAATAAATAATTTATAAAATTTTTATGAATTTAAAATTTATACTCTAGCCCAATTTTGATGTATTTGAATTTTTTTAATATAACATAAATTCATCACTAATGTTACCACCCGCTATTAAAATCGTCGGCCGTCGTTGCTACTCTCCAATGTCAACCACTGTCATCATCATTCATCACCCACCTCTGACGTCACCTTCTTCCCACCCCCGACAATCGTCGTCGACCACCACCACTGGCCATTAGCCTCCGTGTGTCGCCGACAGCCCACCACTTGTTGTCGCCCACCACTACGTCGCCCACCACTACTGGCCGACCATATGCCACAAATCACAATCATCTTTGGAGTTTACATTGTTCTTTCTACTTCAAGCAAAATTTTAAAAATAAAAAATCGCCCGTATTTGTTTTACACTCATCCAAACAATTTCAAATTATTTCAAATACATTGTGTTCTTTTACATTACGGAGTTGTTTGGTTGCATGCATTGCAAGTGTAAAGTATTCTAGACACAATGGTTTTGAAAACATTGATGTTTGGTTTGAAGCAAAATAAATGCGGTATAAATTTATTGTACATTTGTAATACACAATCTAGTTCGTTTTTTTGTGTATTTAAAATTCCTCCAGTTTGTGCAAGTTCCGAATATATTGAAAATTCATTCCAATTGGCGCCGTCATGCGCCCACCGCTGACCACTGCCCACCACGCGCTAGCCATCGTCGCCACCCACCATCTTCCACCCGCCACAAGCCACATCACCGCCAATGTCAACCATTGACCACTACTTTTTTTCATTTTACATTGCATTTATTTTACTTCAAAAAAAAAATAATAATCATATGCATTCATTTTACAATCATCCACAAGAGTTTAAATTATTCCTTTTACATTGCATTCCTTTCACACTGCAATTTTTTTCAAAAAAAAACTAAACATCATCTACATTTGTTTACATTGAATTCCTTTTTCAACCAACCAAATAATTAATATAATATAATATCCATTCGGAGTAAGCTGCTCTTTATAAATACCAAATTATGTATATATATAAATATAACTTTTGAATTGTAAAATTATTGATTAATTTACCAAAATCACTCACCTTATTTAGATATCTTGTAAGACCCAAGTAACTAATAAGGTGATGTTCTAAATGTATAAATCTCTATAAATTTTAAATTAATTTATTAACTATCTGTTAATGAGATTAATATTAAATATGTAAGTTTAATATTGAATATTGTTATATTGATATCAACAAATATAGTGATTTGATTTAGTATTAAAGCCAAATAAAATAATTAGTAAAATTCTGAAGAGATGCTTGGTTTGGTAATAGCAGTTATAGCTTGGGCCCACACTCCAAACCTTATCTAGTTATATGCATGGATTAGTGCTGTCACGGAAGAGAGAACACGAGATGGACAATTGAAGCGCAGGAGGATTATTCTTTAATTGGGCGGAATGTTTCTCTCGGGACTGTAGAAGAAACTACAAAAATTGATAGGAAATTCGCATATTCACTTGTAGCAATAGGAGGAGAAGTCTTGTGCAAGTGGCGGGGAATTTCTACAGAAAGAGGGGGACAAAGTGCTGGGTTTCAACAGAGAAATTCTGTAGCAGGAGGCGGAAATCAGTGGGGTTTCGGCACAGTGTTGAAGTTCTCTGTTCTCCATTCGACACAATTTCTGCTTGCAGTATTGTGAATATTCTTGGAAATTCCTTATTGCTGGCTTCGCATAGTGACTGTCTTTGGAAGAATTCAGCATAGTTGATGGATTCCTAATGGGAGTTCGGTTGTGCATTGGATTCAAGAGAGTAAGGAAGAGCAATTTGTGCATAATTGAAGAATTCAGAAGCAATAATTTAAAAGATATTTAAAAACATGTTATCAATGCTTTGAATGTAATTAATATATAATATGTGATGATTTGTAAATTGATGTATGGGTGCAAACGAATTGGGATAATAGTGAACAGTAAACTATAACAAAGATTTGGTTATGTCTTAGGTAAATTTGGTCATATGCAAAGAGAAAGCTTTGAAGTGACATATAATCGTAGAAGGGTGCGAAGTAGAGAATTGGTAGAGACGACTGGGCAAAGAGGTAAGTAATGCAATTTAAAGTTTAAAGAAAACTTTTATAAATTTGATATTATATCAATCTAAGGAAAATAGGCACTACTAGTTTGTTTCCTTTTTCTAAAGGATATTCATAGTCAAGTTTTCATGTATGAATACCCACTCCCATAAATTCATTATATGAGTTTAAATAAAGATTTATTATGTTCATTTAAATGTTTTTCTTGTTAATAATGTTTTGGAAATAGATCATTCTCTTTACTTATAATGTGCATATTTATTTTATACAATGAATGAATAAGAAAACATGCAGCAAGTGTAGTATGGATAATGAAAATGAAAAGTGTACTGAATATCAATTTAAAATTAAAGTTTGGCTAAAGATTTATGTATAACTTACCAATGCATGTGGGGTCCCCATATATTAAACTGTTTGGTAAGTGGGCCAAAAGAGACCCCAAGGAAATGAAACATGCAAAGCAGGTGGGGCAAAAGGGACCCCAAAGAGCCAAAAGAGACCTCTATGTAATTCAATGACGATAATGTCAGGTTTACCTAGGCTCTATTGAATATGTTTATGAATGAGTAGCCAGATCTTTTAATGAGTAAATTGATATTCAGTATGAATGTAAGAAGAAATTCTGGATAATGTCAAATGAGAATTTATGAAGTTTGCTCTAGTAGTCTAACTTTATTTATATGTTCAATATTCAAAATTTATAATCATGAAATTTAAATGTTACTTCATATTGCATCACTTATGGAGTCTCATAGCTCACAAGTAATTTATTGCTGGCTGTTGTTACAGGAAAGGGACAGGAAAGGGAAAAGAAAATATGGAAGAAGACTAATATGCAAGTATTTTAATTTTATGTTAATGTTTATTCTATGTTTGAGGTCTACTTTTGAGGTTAGTAAACAATTTTAATATTGTATTACTTTGAATTTGTTTGATTTTCCTTAGTGGCTTTGTACTAAGTTTTGGATGAAACTTGGGAATTGATACATGCTTCCTTTGTTGTATTAGATTAAGTTTATATGATATTTTATACCAAGTGGAAATGTAATGATATGAATGAGATGTTTAATGATGAAAATGTTATGTTTATTCTTGTTACACTCTACCTTACTGTTAAGAGGTACTGTGGGGTGTTACATATCTAATCATATTTGCATAATAATAATAGTAATAATAATACACATATTACCTATTATGATTGAAGGCTTTTGACTTTCTCTTTAGTTTGCTTGATAATATCTTTGACATTGATGATTCTCTTTTTGCTTATGATAATAACTTAAGTTAATTGTGTAAAAGGTGTATATCTCATGATCCAATTAGTTTTCTCTGTAGCATAAGGTTTTTTTTTTTCATCGAAGATTATTATAGTGCCTTGTGGGTTGAGCATAATGGGGGACTTCATTATTATATAACTTAGTTTTTTTTACCCTGTTGTTACACTCATTCAATGTCTTACAAATGTCATGCATTTAACAAGTTGAGCTAGCATGTTCGACGAAATAAATTTGAACCCAAAAGAACTAATCAAATTGGCAACCCGGTTGATTTAACACAAGGAATTTTCAATGTTCTACTAGCCAGATCGTTTTATTTGCTAGTTACACACCGACACATTTTATCTAATATATGTTTAGATAAATAGAATGTCACCCGATTCCATAAGGCCACTGTGATATGATTTTATTAATTCCCATTAAATATCACTTTCTTAGGTCCACCAATTCTCCACTTAGTAGCCTACCTTGGTATATCTCATATCATTATCGACTATACGTCAATATTAATCTTCAATTCTTAGTCAACACTCCTTGACTGCTAAGTTAATGACTACTAATATGATGAGCCACCAACCATATATTAATAATCATTATTGGTTATGTTAGCTCAACTTCTAATGGATATCTTCATGAAGCCCCCATAAGTGTCATCCACTGACTCTCTCATGATAATATGATCATTTATTCATTTTATACTTGCTCAATTCCTACCAACCCTTCTATTAATGGGCGCTATAAAAAATATTATGCTCCAACAATCATTTCTTTCTCTCATAATCTTATCCTCATTAATGCAATGATATAGTCTCATCAACTCAAGAGCAATAGCTCGAAGATTGTCATGTAATTAACATGAGAAAAACATCTCTCTCTCTCTCTCTGTCAATCAATCAATCAATCAATTCTAGATTTTATGTCCATTGACACCACATATCATTGGCTTAATCTTCCCCTCTAGCTCCCTCCCTCATCTCTATCAATAGTTTGCCCTTGCCCATTAACTCATCTATACTACTACCATAATATATTACCATTTATTTAACAAAAATGACACACTCCTTCTATATTTATAACACCCAATAAGTAGTTTTGATCAGTAGATGGGGATGGGGAAAAAATCATTTTTTAAACATGTTTGGTTGGATAAAAATGGAAAGAAGATTGGTTTAAATCAATCAACATGTTGATTATGGGTTTAGGCTAGTTTTCCCACCGATGATGAGGAAAACAAACCATTGAGCTATGGAGAATAACATGGAAAATATCTAAACTATAATTAGACACAATGATTAAGCATAAATTCATGTATTATGCTTGCCCCCATCCTATGATAAAGATGGAGTATTTATATATATTGGGCCAACTTCAAGTGATTTTAAGGTGGATATTAATGTGAGAGCCATATACATGCCATGGAATGACCACAAGCAACTTTCAAGCAACAAATGATAAAATAATTGTTGAATGATTATGCCTTTAATATTGAAGGAGACTCATGGTATATATTAATTGCAATCTTATAAGAAAATTTTCTAACATGACCATTACTTCATATGGGAAATGGTTAAATGATACCTTAAAAATGCCTAGATAGGAAATGATAACAACATCAAGCTCATAACGAAAAAAGAAAAGTTATTATAGAATCCAAATGATTAAATAAGGACAATATGAACTAGATATATATTCCAAGATGTTTATAAGGAGCAAATTTATTGACAACTCTTTTAGAGAATTGACAGACATAAAATAAGTTATGAGATGCGAGCCGTGGAAATGATAAGAATTCATTTTTGTGTTGAGATGATGCAAGCCTGTGCATTGAGATTTTTGGGAATTTGAAAATGACTATGCCCATATTACTTTAAAAAGGTGGCGGTGAGAGAAAATTCAAAACACAACAAGAATGGGCTCAATATTTAGAGTTGTTTGAATAACATATATCAATACGAAGATGATTAAGATAAAAATATTCATTGTATGATATGATCATAGTACATAAGTTACAAAATAACCTTACTAGGAGAATGAAAGAGTTGCATACTAATAGGTATAGAGAGACATAAATAGGGATAGAAAGATAATGATTTTGATCAATGTGCTTATTTGGATTTATTATGAAACAAATATTTATTATTAAAATTCAATTGATCCATTTGATATGCACATTCAAAAAAGTTCAACCACTCTATTTGTCAAAAAAATGTATATATATAATTTCAGATTATTTTATAAATAAGCAAACTTGCTACTTTTTTACAAATAAATTCACATTAAAAGGATATAAAATGTCATACAAACAACTAATTAAACTACATTTTTAAAATTTAAAAGACCCAATATTCAAGACCGATAGCCAAGTCCGGCCGGACCGAACCGGACGAGCCGCCATTCGCCTCGCACCCTTAAAAGTTAAAACCCTCTCTGCTCACCAACCGAATGCTCCAGAGACATATTTTCCTGCATTTCTCGCGATTCTTTGGAGTGCGCTTGCTGCTCGGATAGTTCATTTGAAACCCTACCGCTCTCTTTGATCCTTGTTAGCGGCGATTCCGGCGAGCGGAGATGTCGCTTCGCGTTCTCAACCCTAATGCCGAGGTCCTCAACAAGTCGGCGGCGCTTCATATGAATATCAACGCCGCCAAGGGTTTGCAGGATGTGCTCAAGACTAATCTTGGTCCCAAGGGCACCATCAAGATGTGATTCTCTCATTTATTTTCCTCTTCTGCTTTTACGGCCAGTTTCCTTCCCATATATGACGATTTCATGCTTTCTGTTGCTAGGCTTGTCGGAGGGGCGGGGGATATCAAGCTGACCAAGGATGGGAATACCCTTTTGAAAGAAATGGTAGGTGATATCCAGTGGGGTTTTCGACATCAATAAGTTTTGCAGGTAAAATGATTTGCGTTTGTGATTAAATATGGTTTCTGTTTGATCTGCAGCAAATTCAGAACCCGACGGCGATCATGATCGCGAGAACAGCCGTTGCTCAGGATGATACAAGTGGGGACGGTACCACTTCCACTGTGCTCTTCATTGGCGAACTTATGAAGCAGTCGGAGCGATACATTGATGAAGGTTTGTGATATCAGCTCTAAGTTCATCGTTTTTCTGTGATTTTTCGTTAATGTGAGGTTTTTATTTCGCTTTGGCGATAATTTTAGTGATTAGCGTTTTTGCTGAGTGCGTGTATACATTTACGGAAGCTTTGGTTTTACGCTGAATTTGGTACAACCGCGCAGATGCCATTTTGTATGAAATTTTTAACATATTTGCATAAACATGCTATTTACTCTATAGGTAATTTGAATGTTTAAAACGGCGATTTTCTATTTATATTTTGAAAACATAAGCTGAAAGGAAACAGAACCAAATGAAATCTTAGTTTGTTTATGATTCTCACCAAGATGTGCGGTAAGTGAACTTCAAGCCTCTCTTTGTTGATCCTTGAAGCTGAAGGCTTATTGTGTCATTGATGCGTTAATATTAATTTTCCTTGTCTTCTCTCTTTGAGTAGTGAAGTGAATCGGGACAATATATTATATTTTTTCCTGGTTTTCGCTTTGTAGTTGCAGCTTCCACAACGTATTCACGCCTCTTGCTGTGTATCTTATAGTGGCCATGGGAGATGATTTATAGAGAGAGCTTGTTAGCAATGTTTCAGCTGTGTAATGATCATTTTAGAGTACATATAATGATTAAGACTTGCAAAAGTCAGGAATCTTTGAACCTATATGTTAGAATTCGAGGGACTTTCTTTACAATTTAAGTCACACAGCACTCCACTCTGTGACCAAGTTTGTCTTTTCAAGCAATTTGATGAAAATGATATTTGAACTATGCCTGCTACAACAAGCTGTAACCACCTAAATTGTTTGTAAAACTTTTGGCTTAGTTTATGCCATGAAGAAATGAAACTACTACAAGGAATCAATTCACTGTATGTTGAATTGAGTGGTTAAAAAGAGATATTGAAAATGAAACTACAGGCAGCCAATGCATTTCTAGGTTGCATTTCCTAGTTTAATAGACATTTAAATATTTAATCCAAAAATGGTCTTAAACTTTACTGGTGGCAAGAGTGGTTGCTGGATATACTATCTTGGATTGAAATGTTAAGTTATAGCGTGGCATATTATTTTTGGCAATGTTTATATGAGAATAACCTTCTTTTACGGTTTGAGGTTCCTTGCTTCATAATTGCTGCTGTTTTTTTTTTCCCTTTAATATAGGAAGCTAGCTCCCCACTTGCTTTTATTAAGCAATCTGTGCTTGTTATGCTGAAAAATTAGGAATAGTACAAGGAAAATAGAGTTGGTATGGGCGTTAAGCAACTAAATTTATAATAGGGAAACACTTAATTAGACCATTTTGTAGAGATTTGGAAGAATGCAACATTTTTCTAGAACTGATGCACTAGAGTCGCCAGTGTTCAAATGGAAGCAGCGGAAGTCATATTCTGACTAGATGAAGTTTATGTTTTGTTTCAAGTATTGTTTTAAATATTTTGTTTCCTTAAAAGGATAAATCTTCTTCTGTGGTGCTAACCTGTAGCATCATGGGATTTGGCTGTCATACTTCATTGTGCTTAAGCTTGTGTGGCGGGATATAAGATTTTGATTAGTTTACAAAAATTTTCAGCCAGTATCGTTGTTTATGAAAATTTTTTTTCTTTTCTAATTTTCCAACTGGCACTTTGATATCTTACACTTTGTTGGTTGAGCATTTGAATAAGTTCCTCGAATCAAATCATTTGACAAATTACAAAACAACTTACAGTACAAGAAAGGTCTTCTGGATCAACCAAGTTTGATAATTGTTATGTACTATAATTTTGCTCAATTTATTTTAGACATTCATGGATTGAGAATATATGATGGAATTATTTCTGGAGGAAATTGTGATATTGGCTATGGAAGATGAATGCTGAAGTTACTACTTCCAAATATCCATGGTGATAATGTTGGAAGAATTTAGCCTGCTTATTGTTTTTGTTTATTTCTGTTACCATAGGAATTCTAGAAGCTAATTGATGAGTTAGTAGAAATGTGCTTGGATTTTTGTCACTATTTGCACTGACTTGAGTTCATCATACTCTTGAGCATTTGTTTTGAGCTGGATAGTTTTGATCTTTCAACATATAAGCACCCCCTCTTGAGTATTTGTTTTGATCTAGACCTTTCAATATATAAACAGCCAAAAAAAAAACTAGTTTTAGACAACTGCTTTGTGATAGTGGGTTCTACTAGGGCAAGTACCCCTCAAGGTGAAGTCTTGTTTGTGCAAGTTTTTTGGAGGAGTTCGTCGAGAATGATTGCACCCTTAGTTTGATCTTCTAGGGTGAATTTGCACACTGTGATCTCTGCAATTGGGAGTGGCCATTTGTCCTCAGGTTGGTGCTGGCGATTACCCCTCCGCCCCCCCCAGAAAAAAAGCTTTTACCCAATTCATCCAAGTGAATTTTTCTAGCTTGTGATAATTGCCAACTTCTGTGCTTTTTAGGCAGCGCTGCTTAATTTTGCTCTTCAACACTAAGAATTCAACTCTAATTACTTGTTCAGGAACTCCATGCCATCAAAATATTTTGGTTATTGCTTATTTTTCTTCTGATCATTTTAAATATTAGTCTCATTAACATGCTATAGCTGCACCATCTTTTCTACTATAGTTTTACTGTCCTGAATCTCTAGTTAAACCTGAGTCTCCAAGCAAATAGTTAGGCATGGTGATATTCTCTAAGAATTATCTCATTGTAAATTTTGATTATATGTCATAAGTATTTGAACTCATTTCTCTTATCTTTTTGATATATATGAATATGTTTACTACTATGTTAGTGGAGTTTGGCTTCTTGTTTTTCTTTTAAATTGCTATTGAATTATATTTGGTGTAGGGATGCATCCAAGAGTATTAGTTGATGGGTTTGAGATTGCTAAAAGAGCAACTATTGAGTTTTTAGAGAAATTCAAAACACCTGTTGTCATGGGTGAGACGCCAGATAAAGAGATACTGAAAATGGTTGCAAGAACAACTCTTAGGACAAAGGTAATTACTGTTTATCTGATTTGTTTCCCTCTATCATATATGTTCGTTCCTCTCTAATGATGAAGCATATACCTTTCTTTATATTTTTGTAGTTATATGAAGCATTGGCAGATCAATTAACTGACATTGTTGTTAATGCGGTAAGCATTTTATCTGTAACTTGAATATTCCCAACTTATTTTCTGTTTCTCTTTTTTTAAAGCGTTCTGTTCTGGAAATTTAATTTTTGATGTGTTAATGTTAGTTAACTAAGAAGAAGATATAGTGGATTGGTTCTTCTGTTTTTGCTTTGGTTTGGATGCTGCCATTGGGTTTAAAACTATCCAGATGTGTTAATGCAAAACTTAATTGGAAGCGCAAAATGTAGGTGTTAAGGCTTAAGACAAATGAATTGAAATATATGTTTATTTTTGTTGGTTTGGATATTTATTCTTTTCTAGGACTTTGATGTTTTCTATTATGAGCGGTGTATTCTTTGATTTTCCAATTAAACTTGCTTGTTCTTTTGGTGGTTGGGAGAAAATTGTGATATTAAAGCTTGGAAGGTTGCATCGTTTAGTGCTCATTTTGGTGCTGCTTGAGGTAGGGAGTATTAGTGTGGTTGTGTCAAGCAGCATAGTTGGAGCTGGATGATTTAGTGCTTGAGACTACTGGGCGTTTTGACTGATTTGCTGATTTAGTGCTTGAAACCTGCTACGGTTTTATGTTTGCGGCTGATTAGACTTGCTCTTTGGAGTTTTAGCGGCTGATTTACAAGTTGAACGGGCTATCCAATTCAGTGAATCTGGTGGCTTAAAACCTGGTGCCCATTTTGTTTTGTCCGTATGGAAGGTATTAGGATTTTTTGAATGATGAACAATGGACTAATATTTTGTGGATACAATGTCATTTTTATTGTGGCATGAATTTTCAATATGAAATATTATGCATTTGAAATTCTACATTTTTTTTTTGATAAGCACAAATGAATTTTCAATATATATATATTGTATTTTTTGATGTTCATCTAATGGAATGAATAATTGTCTAAATTAAATGTTTGTGATCTTATGAATTTGATTATGTCTCTTGTTGTTTTGTGATTGCAGATCTGCATTAGGAAACCTTAGCCCTAATGACGTCCTACATCATATATGCCCCTCATGATTTTGAGAATTAGCAACTACATCACTTGTCCGAATTCTGTTAAGCCTAAATGTTATGTTTGCACTAAGGATATTTACTTTATGTTGGTAAAACTTTCATTGCAAGAACTATCATCATTTTAATGCTGAGTTGGAAAGTATCAGTTTCAAGGGAAACAAAGCATGTTTTATGCATCTTCTCACTGAGAAGTCCCTCGGCTTAATTGTTGGAATTGATAGCCATGCTTGTAGGTATTTGAAAGGGTAGCGTTTACAGCATTGACTCATATAACTGCTTATTTTCCTGGATAGGATAGTGAATGAAAATGAAATAAACTTAAGATTGAGAAGTGAAATGAAACAAGCTTAAATGGTGAAAAAGGCTACTCCGTAAAATGAAAAGTAGATTACATGCACAGTTCCAAGTTTAAACAAGGAATGCTATAGGCCAATTAACATCCATATTGGCATCAATATAATGATATTGGCTTACTTAAAATTGTGTAGTCTACTGGTTGCAAGTAGTGCTTGCTGAATTTGGAGCTGTATTGGCGAGTCCCTTGTGACTGTCTAACCCATTGAAAGCACAAGACATTGCTTGAAGTATATTTGCTTAGTATATCTAACAGAACCAGCTCCGGCTTACAATGATTGGTGCAATTTATTTTCATATCTTTTTTTGATGTGAATCGGTCAATTTGAGGCCCATGAATTTCTTTTAATGGATAAATTCAAAGGGGCATTCACTTATCCTTTATCTTACTAGCTTTTGATATAATAGATTTACTAAAACTTGAATCATGATATAATAGATTTACTAAAACTTAAACTTTACATTTTTTAAGTGTCTATCCATCTTCTTCTTTGTCTATTTTGCTTTCGGCCCCCTTCATTTTGAAGGAGGTGGAGGACGGGTATTGAATGAAGGCTAAGGTAGAAGTCATACTTTGCTTGGTGATAATAGGCCTATATGAAATTTTATAGAAGGTTATTTCTTGTCTTTTTCATGGGCGTTGTTTATGTGGAAGACCGTCCTGTGTTTTTTGTTGAAAGTGAAGGGTAAGTTTTTTCATCCTTGAAATATAAGGAACAAATTGTCACTTAAGGGAAAAGGTAGGATTCCAAGCATAAATTTTCTTATTCTTTTTTGTTTGAAAGAGTTTTTCTCAATTTTTAATCTTTTAGTCTCATGCCGCAAACCTCTTAGCTTTTCTATTACTGAACCTGATGTAGAACGGAGGGGGTCGGCCAAAAGAGGGGAAAAAAGGGAAGGCGTCCACATACGTTGAATGTGTCCACATATGGTGAATGTGTCCACATTCGATGGTTGTGGACTAAAGGAATTTCCAAACTTGAATTATTAAGATAAGGAAAGTGAAATTATGACAAATCTATAATTAAATTCAAATTGGGAGAATTAAGGAAAGCCTCAAATTAATTTAAATTTGAATTTAAAAACTTTCCAAACTTATGATGCATCGAATAAGGAATGCCTTCAATAATCAATTTGAAAAGTGGAGGGAAAGAGGAAATGGGAAGGGGGTAGGGTCGGCGGCTAGCATGGTTATGGGTGATTGATATGAGGGGTTAAAGGTGGCTATATTTAGAATCTTAAAATAGAAAAGTTGATTTAAGTCAACTCCTATTTAAAATTCAAAATTGCATGATTTGATGGACTTCCCTAAAATAGTTTTCCTCATTTAGGAAGTCAAATTCAAATTCAAATTCAATTGAATATGAATTTAAATAATTTCCAAATTAAAGGGAGCTAATTTAGGAAAGGATTTGAATGCTAGATTTTGAATCTTGGAGCCAAGGGATGGATGATGGCCGACGACTTTGGGAAGGGGATTGGGCCGGTTGGGTGTCTTTTGGCCTAGGGTTTGGGTGGAGTTTTCGACCAATATGAGAAAGAGAGATGGGGAAGGAGAAAGAGAGATGGGGAAGTGGTGGTTAGGAAAATAAGGAGAATAATAAAAAAAAAAGAAGACAAAATTGCGAGCGTTGGACTCTTCCGAAGACTGACGGGTGATATGTTGCCTTTTTCCAAGGGACTTCAAATCACGAGCCCGGAACCATCCTACGGCTGGTGAAAATTTCGATTCCTTCCCATAGGAATCTTACTAACGTCCTCCCAAAAGAACACAAGCGCATAACACAAATTTTTATTATAATTCCATTATATCTAATACAAGAGAAGGGGCATCTATATATAGGCCTCAAAAGAAACTAAAAAATAAAATTGCCCTTTGGACATTTACATGAGATAAGACTCTTAAATAAAAAGGGTAAAAAAGGAAAATTTCAAAATTAAATAAAAATACAATTAATAAACTAAAATAAAACGGAGTGATCTCGGCCGTCGATCTTCGACTCTTCCTTTGAATATAGTCCACCGTTGGATGTCCGCACGCATCAGAACCAGTGTAGTTAAGGACTGTGTGGTGATGATGAATGTCAAATATGGCTGGTAAAGTTGCTTTGATAATTTATGAGATGACTGCATGCATTAGTTCCTTACCTTATGATGATATGGCATTCACCCATGATCAAGTTATCTTGAACAAAGATTACGTGTAGCAAGAGAGTGCTAGGAAGATCTACTTTGACAAGATGGTAATTCATTTATTTCATATTTGTTTTGAATCCATCCTTAATAATCTAGTCCTTTATGATCATCTGGCCTTATGCTTATGTCAGTATATCGTTGTAGTTTCTGATTTTGCACGACTATTTATTTTTCTGATTTTGCACGACTATTTATTGAACGATTTTAATTTCAGCATAAGACTTCCATTAGCATCTTTAGCTACCATTAGGAATTCCTACGACATGATAAAAAGGCTTTTCTTAAGTTGGTGATAATCACTTTGAAAATGCATTTGGCTTGTTTTTGCCTTTTCTTCTGGGGACAATCTGGACAGTTTTTTTTAGTGATGTTTTTTGCTTTTTCATTTTGACTGTGATATGCTGCTTTACCTCATACTGATTTAAGGATGTAATATTACTAGGTGCTCTGCATCCGTAAACCTGATGAGCCAATTGACCTTTTTATGGTGGAGATAATGCATATGCGCCACAAATTTGATGTTGATACTCGTTTGGTATGTTTTTGTACTGGTTTCTTTTCTGATACTTTATCTATCTTGCCTTCCTTGTTGCTTTTGTGATTACTGAGAATGATATAAGTATATTGAAGGAGTGTGAGGGGCAAACATTGGAGAGACAGATTCTTGTTTAGTGGTAACTGGAAGTATCAACTCCTGTAATTGATCTAATTGCTTCATCCATTAGAAGAGTTGGTGTAATAATAGCATTTCATATTAGAGTATCTTGCTATATTCTTAATAATGTTTTGAAGTTCTAGGACTACCTAATGATAATAAATCTATGGCCTTTTGTATTTCTTTCCATTGCATGTATTGCACATAGTTATTGGTCGTTGTCAGTGCGAGAATTGTTTTTTTCTGCGTTTTTATGCGTCAAGCATAGACCAATTACTCTTTTTAGTGAACACATAACAATTAATAGACAGCCTAAGCTCAAAATAGAGAAAATATTGCAAAGCATAAAGCAGTTTTTAAGCTTAAAATTGAAAGAGGATTGATTATACCTTTAACAAGGAAGAATCTATTCAAATAATTAACGGAAATCTAAATTCAAAAATTCCTGCATCCTTAATTGATCTCTTAAAAAATTTTCAAATGCAAACTAAGCAAAAATCATTCATCTTGAAATTAATAAAAAATCTTAGATACTTACCCAAACATTACACAACAATGTAAGAAACATTATAAAACTAAAGAACATAAACAAACCTGTGTAGCTGCAATATACATGTAAAAGAGCTAGTTGTAGTTTATACACGTGTCTAGTTGCATTATTTGATCGACTAGGTGTGTGTATGAACATATTTTATCTTGGATATCTTCTTTTGTTATCAAAATTCTTAGAAACAACTGCATGTATAGAACTTGGAGGCTCATACTAAACCTTTAAGCCATCAAATACTGATAAATTGATATAACTATCAAATATTCAGTAAACTTATTATTTCATGTTTAAATTGGAAAATGTGCAGTTGATGAAGAGAAACAAGGAGGCTCATATCCAAAATTAGACCAAATACTTCTTCACTATATTAGCTGTAGTTTTTGCATATTGATTGCCATAGCGTTACAGGGAGGGCATGAATCTAAATTGGACTGAAATTTTGGCATTCGCATCTTCCTACTTACTATAACAAATCCAGTGAGGCAATGAATCTTAATGGACTTGAAATTTTGTATTAATACCATCATCCTTAAAATAAGATCATCACTTTCTTTTAAGGGGGAAGATTGTCTATTTATGATTTAGTAGAACCTCTTTTAAAATTAATCAAACAATTTTCCTATTTCTTAAACGTAAATATTTACCTTTCATATGCTATGTCCAAGTCAACTGCAACTTTTCACATCATATTTCGTTTTCCTACTATCCACCTATAACACATCTTATTGGTAGAAGCCTCTCTTTCTTGGGTGTTTGTTTTAATGGTCCCTTCATCCATCAACATCATCATTATTAGCCTTTTGTTCAAACTTATATGGGTCATCTTTATGACCATTACTATTTCTTTAATTTTTTGTTTAGTGCTATACTAGTGCTATCTCCTTTTTGTTTTGCATGGAGTTTAGCTATTTTATAATAACCATTTTATTTCATCCTAATATTTCCACCATAATTATATTCAATTATGATATATTTTTGCATCGTCTACCCAAGTTTTATAGATGAGTATTTTTCTACTAATCATAAATAGCTATTGTTCCTATCCCATTTTCGATATGATTTTTTATCATATTATTTTTTTTACTCATGTCACACAGCCTCTAAAAAATACGCCATCATCAATGAATTTTTATTACTCACTCCTTGGATTCATATCTTAAAGTCAATATAATTTCAGTTATAAAATACTGTGATTCTACTTTATATTTTTTTATTACATAATAATCTTAATTTCATTCTTCATTTTGACTTCCTAAATTTTTGTTTTGGAAGGTCCTAAACTCATTGATGGAGTCGTTCTATTATATGAAAAATCCAAGGTTCTTTAATCAATCAAAGCTAGGTATCATTAAGTCTCTCGGTCATACTGAATTATAGATGTCGATTTCTTATCCACAAAATTATATATATATATTATATGCTTAGTTTTAATTTTAAGCCTCTTGTCTTTTGAGTTTCCATCATTGTTTTAACATATCATATTGTGTTCTTTTTATTAATTTACTTCTCTCATTAAAATAATTTTTGTCGGCTATATTGTAGCCCAACTTAAAGAGTATAAATACTAGTTTTATTTGTTATCTTCTCATTAGTATTTCATTCGATTATATAATCAAATATTGAGCATTTTATCACTGATTTCATTCAAGCCAACCATTTTATCCATCAATTTTCTGTCCATCAGTGTGCCACTTAATGCCTATTCTTAAACTTTCTAGCATAGAACAATTTATAAACTTATTTTTCTTGTTTCAATTTAATTTATTGTAAATGTAATATTTATTCTTATTTTAACATTATTTCGTCTTGTAATTTGTACTCCATATGTTTGAAGAGAGAAAATCATAAATGACTATTTTTATTGAATTACTTTCTAGTCAAACAAATATGCGTCGATATATAAATAAAAGAAGAGAAGAATTAAGGAAAGTAAAACAAATGAGGATATCCATAATAACAATGGAATATTATGATTATAAATGATGCATTTTCCTATTATGAACGAGGTACATGTGATAATTTAGATATGTTAGATGTGCGAACGGATGCCAACTTGCATCTGAAAGCAGTATGGACCAGAGATAAAATTGTAAAAGATTTGTAGCCGAAAGGGTGCGAGTGTTGCAAGAGGAGCACATTGATTTGTGAAAGACAATAGTGCTAAATAGATAAAAAGAGTCGACAACGAGATCCATGTTAAGGAGGGTACATATATGATCTTTAAACATAGATATCGATAGAGAATGGCTATGTAGGTATGCATGAAGAGAGTATTGATATAGAGTTTCGATGGTGTCAGTTCAATCTTTTCATTGGTGCGATAGAAATGGTAAAATAATGTGGGCATGATAGCATCTTTCAAGAAAATGGAATTATCGGAGGATTGCACTCTAGACATAGATGATGATCTTAGGGGGGGGGGGGGGGGGTTGAGGGTGGTGTTGAGGTTGATGGAGAATGGATGGGTAATAGGCAAAGAGAAGTGTGAGAACAGTCCAATGGTGATCATAAGTTCAACGACTTCTGTGGGAAGGTGTTTAGAGAGGATCATGATGATTGTAATCCATGATCTTGGTACTATATTAGAAAAGAAAAAATCATAAATGATTATAACTTTACTGATTTGTGTTTTCAGTATAAACATAGACATTCCTATATGTGCGTAAAAAGAAGAGAATCATTACGAAAATGTAAAAGGAGGGTATTCTCAATAATGAGGAAATATTAAACTCATAAATATTGTAGATTTCCACTATAAATAATTTAGTACATTTGTTAATTTAGATATGGTAAAACTATAAAAAAAAAAAAAAAAAAAAAAAAAAAAAGATATGGTAAAACTATATAGCAAATATAATTTTGTTTTAACCTTAACTCCGCTTTCATCTTTTCATCATAATTGGTTTACACTAGAACGCTTCATTTCTGGATGATGTTTTTGTTCGCCCTTAACTATTTTTCACCTAGATTGGGTTAAGTAGTTGCGCTTCACTCTTGATTGATGTCCGAATGAACAAGATCATTGTTCTCTGTAGTTGTGGAGCTTTTTCATAAGAAATACCCTAGCAGTAGCACATACTAAATTAAAATTCAATTTATGTATCTCGACTTATATTTTTTGACTTTGTTGAGCTAATATCACCACTAAACTTTTTTGATCTACAATTGGGACTGCCAATTGCACTTTTCCTGTAAATTTGAATGAATAATAGGAAAAAAAACTATCTTTTTCTAGCCTCTAAGTGTATGATAAAACGATGAAAAGTCCCATAAATTCCAATCCTTTACGGACCATAAACTTCCAAGGTAAACCATAATAATCTGTAGAATTAGTGTATAAAGGTAGCATTGAAAAGAACAATTCAAAATTCTTGATGTAGTAAGAAAACATTCACTGACTACAGAGTAGGAAGAACAGTGATAAAGTTAGGTAGAAATATGAATTCAAAATTTACTCTATCTTCTCTTCTTCATAATATGATCCTGTAGACCTTGCTAGTTCGCTCCTTGGGATTTTTCTGCTCTCTTTTTTTACTTTTGGGAATTGGCAAAAATTCTGTTGTTGTGGAAGTGAAACAGGAGTCAAAGAGTGTTTGCCTTAAAATATCTACTGAATGTAGTAGAGAAGGGCAAGCATTAGCTCTGATGTTCATGGGACCCTACAGAATGACCTTTGACCTTTGAAGCATTGTCAGCTGGGCACCGTTGAATCTAGGATGACCTTCAACTTCAAAAGCGTCGCCAAAGTGCAGTTAATGAAGGACTTCATCATATGCAGTCATCTACTTCACAAACATAGAAATGAGGGTGTCATTTTCATAAGGGACCAGGAGGTAGTCAGCATGCATTATGCCCGTCCTTAATCTGATGGGTCAAATACTTTATATGCCATCTTTTGGTTTGATTTCATTCTTTCTATAAGAACCTTGAATTGAAAACAAACAACCTTACCGAGGCCAAATCATACGAGCACTCGTACATCATGAAGATGTAACTTGGAAGAAAAGAACAAATCTTGGCAGCGTATTACAAGAGGCACCTTTCTTGGGACATTGTTTCCTTTCAAATATATTCCGTTGTGTTTTTTCCTTTTAGGCGTGCATTCATGCATTCCGTAACTGATGCATCTTTTTAAGCTTTGCAGTATTGAGATTGCTAATTGCTTCTCATTGTAGAAGATCCATTTAGTTAATATTTCGTGGCACTTCTGGCTTATTTGTTGAAGATGTTGCTAGTCCACATTTGTTGAATCTATATAATCCTTTTCGATAGCTTCAAATTTTGATTACCTTACAGAACAATTTTTTATTCACCATTTCTTAGGTATTTGCACTTGATACTTCATCTTTCTATTATATATTTTCTGTTTGAATAAGCAATACCTTTGATAATTTGTTGACACATTGAAGCTTGTCTATTTGATCCTAATAAATTGTTTTTGATTAATGCTCGTCATTGGGTGGTACGAGACAGTTGAATTTACCTACGTGGTTATTGGCCTTTTTAGGTAGAGGGTCTTGTCCTTGATCATGGATCTAGACATCCTGATATGAAGCGGAGGGCAGAAAATTGTTATATCTTGACATGCAACGTGTCATTGGAGTATGAGAAAAGGTAAAGGACTCACCTGGATACTCCCTTTCATTGCACCTGCAGATGTTGTATTCATTGCGAACATTGGAAGTTTGTTCTTTTGCTTATCCTTTTCTATATTATGATTCCCTTGGTTTTATTACCTATGGTAGAAAAATAGATCATTTTAATTGGTGTTTACTTTTTTAAGCACTAGATTAAAGGTTTTCAGACAGATGGTATTTAGTTTTTTTTCTACTTGTATTTTCTTATTTATGAGTCAAGGAAGAGAGTTATGCAATATTTTTATAAAAGAGTTATGCAATATTTTTATCCTGAACCCTGGTTGGGTGTTTGGGAAGTGGCGACGACATTGTTTAGATCTACAAAATCAGTTGGAAATGTTCTTTTTTTTTAATGATATCATAACTTTATTTGTTGAATAATGCCGGGTCAATGACCATCCTTATGATAGATCAACTAAGTCGGTGGGTCCCACTAGGAGGGGGGGCAAGAAGATAAAATAAGAGTAATTACTTATAGTAGAAGATCAAGATTGGGAGGGAATTAAGAATATTTAAAGAGGGCTGATTTGACTGGGAGGAAATTTGAAATGTTTGTTTAGAGAAAGAGTGCTGATTTGGTTGTGAGGGAATTAAGAAGGTTCTAAATATGGTTCATGTTAGGAAGAATTTACTTAGGGAGGTTTTAATTGGGAAGGTTTCCTAAATCATGTTTATGCTATTTAAGAAGATTCTAATTATTTAGGATGATTTCCTAAATTATGTTTATGCTGATTAGGAATGTTCTATTTGTGTTATGGTGTTCTAGGGCTATTTAAGAAGGAGTTTGTCTAGGATTTAGGATATGTTATTGATGAGTTTTTGGTGAGTGTTTGTTGTTTGTTATTTTTTGTGAGGGATTCTAGTAGCGTCTAGAATTTGGGAGAGAAGGACATCCTATCGAAAGAGGACCATTGTATCTTGGTTGTTCGTATTTATTTTCTTATCAATAAAAACCTATTGGTTTGATGAAATTTACTGTTTGTTCGCTGATTTTTGGAATTGGTATTAGAGCAATTTCTTGGGACCGATGGTCGGGAGAAAGTTGAGACGTTGGAAGAAAAGTTGGAGGGGAAATTAGAATAGCCGCGAAGGGATGTGAGATTGTTGAATGAGCGTTTTTCAGCGATGGAAGGAAGGTTTGAGAATTTGGAAGATATGATGAAGAAAATAATCGAGATGTTGTGCTTGACAGTCTCCATAAAAAAGAAAAATCCTTTGATATTCCCCCTCTTAATATTAAGGGATACTAGATATTCAATTTAATTATTTTATCCAGGTTGGATTAACTTCTACTAGCTATACTTTGGAGATTCTGTTATTCAATTCAAAATCTTAATAAAATTTGGAAAGTGTCTTTTTTTTTTTTTATTGCTTGGGGAGCAAACATGTTTCTGTTAACATAGGCCGAGTTCTTCATTGTATGCATGTGCCATTAATACTTGTTTTGCACAGCGAAGTAAATGCAGGTTTTTTCTACTCGAATGCTGAGCAGAGAGAAAAGATGGTTGCTGCTGAAAGACGTCAAGTTGATGAGAGAGTAAAAAAAATCATTGAATTAAAGCAAAAGGTAAGTCAAATATATCTGTGTTTTATTGAGGAAATTCAGCAACTTATTGTTTGTTGTCGTGTGCAGGTTTGCTCTGGCAATGAAAGTAATTTTGTTGTGATCAATCAGAAGGGCATTGATCCTCCATCTTTGGATCTTCTGGCTAGAGCAGGGGTTAGTTATGAAAACTGATTTCTTATATATACTACTCAATCTCCTTTGATAATTAGTAGCTCTCTTTAACGGGCTATCGTTCAGGCTTTGTTTGAGGCAGTTTTAGCATTTCTATTTTTTTTCTTTTGAAAACTCCATTGTCAACTACAGTTTAAAAAATGCTTTAAAAAAATATTCAAGAAAAAAGTTTAAAATAGCAACGTGTCTTCCAAATTTATTATTTTTATTAATTATTTTTCTTACCACTAAAATAGTTGAAAAGCATTCCAAATATTGCCTCAGTAAATTTATGCTCAATGAGTGGCTGAATGTGAAAGTTTCTCAATGAATTAGAAGTAACCCCTTTCTCAAAGATGATTTGGATTTGTGTATGTTATGATTCTATTGATGAGTGTTGATAGTTTAATTTGTGAACCCTGCGTGAGAATTAATAGTGCAATAGCATTTTTTGCAAACACTTGAAATGTTTTAAGCCTTTAAAATCAATTTTATTTGTGATATTCTTTTACTCTTCATTTTTGTTAACACACATTTTGATGTTGAGCGATGTAATTAAATGAAAATTTTGGTGAGTTTTTTTTTTTGTAAGTAATATTGAGAAGGGAAGGGATACATTTGTTATTGAAGGAGAATCATAGAAGAGGATTGAGGAGATAAATTAATGAATATCTATCAGAGAGGAAGACATAGTACAACATGGAGGAAATCAAGGAGAAATCCTAAAAGGGAGGAAGAAGAATCCCCAAATCAAAGCCTTTCTTGAATTCATCATAAAATTTGATTTATTGTAAGACACTAGATTTTATTTATCAAATAGGGTTACAAAGATAAGGTCAAATGTAAATTTAATCCTACTAAAATTTAGACTTAAAACTATTAAAAAAACTATAATAAATATAAAATCCTAACACCAATAAAATAATTAAATAAAATCAATCGTAAACAATATGAACTTTATATTTGCTATGGGATATCCATTCTTTTGAGCCGCAGGGAACTTCAGAGTTGAAAATTGAAATGCTATTGAAGGACTAACTAAAGATCACCCTCTTTGGAATAGAGCTAATAATTTCAATTCGAGAAGATAGGAAGATGAGAAATTCATCTCACGGTGAAAAAGATGAAATGATAAAACATAAATATCAATAACGATAGTTGTAGAAAGTTTTCATTGTAGTTATTGAAGCACATTATTAAAACCCGACTAAGTTGATCTAAAGTATTGGCTAATTGATTGAAGTTGCCATTTTATTTTAGGTTTATTGCTTGGTTTGACTGCATGGCACAAGTGAAGCGAACTTACAACAGTTTTGGTTTGTGAATGGGCGCGGAAATTGTGGAAGTTGTGATTTTTGTGGGTGGATGCTGGTGAATGCGAATAATGTGAGAGAGTGGGCAAGGATGCGTGCGACACTTCTAGAAGATGTGTAGATGGTTCTTGTTTAGTGCTAAAGATGAACTACAAGCAAATTTGAAAGCATCAAATGTCCTCGTAGATGAATTGATAGAAGTGGAGATGGATGTAATGTTGTAAGACCAAGGTGAACATATTTCCAGATTGTTGATGCTTGCTACGACCTTCATATCTATAAATTGACTCCATAACATTCTTGTCTGTGCTGGCATGGAGGTTGGGGGGTATGGAGGTTTGGATGAGCTATGCAGTGGGGTTTATGTTGGCATTAAAGACCTGCACTTGTTTGTGAATCTAGAGCATAGCTTGTTGGTGGACTTGGAAGGGATTTTGTGGTTTTTGTGGGCAATCTTGATGTTGTAATGGGGGATAGGGTAGATGGTGTGAAACAATCAGAGTTACTTAAGAAATTAAAGAGAGCAATTTAACAAAGTATTCCCAAAATAAAGTGATTACTTATAACACGGAATGATCTTCGGATTTCTTACTCTTTAACTTGCTTAGGCAAAGAAGAGCGAAGTCGATTAACCAAACAATTCAAGAAAACGCAAAGAATAATTGGAAAGCTACGATGGTAAACAAGAATCCGTGATTTAATAATGAGAGCTTTCACCTTTAGAGCCCATACGCTCAAATATTCTAGGCTTTAGCGGAAGAAGAGTATCCACATTAGAATCGAGGTCACTCCGAGGAAGAAGGAACCTAAGATCGTCATTCTTGGAAAGGTGGCCGGAGTGGTGGAGGAAGATGGTCGTCCAATGATGATCCAACGTCCCTTTGACCTTTGCTCGTCGATCACGTCAACTAAGGTGTATTGGATATGGTCGATGTATTCTTCAACGGTGTCGTCGAAATCAAAGCCCACGCCATTCTATGGTCGATGTATTCTTCAACGGTGTCGTCGAAATCAAAGCCCACGTCAAAGAATGGCGATTGGAGGATGTCGACTTGATCTTGATCGTCATGCACAAATCCAAAGTTCCATTCGGATTCCACCATACATGGTGAATTGAGAGGAGGGAGGGGAGGAGGGGCGGCTAGGAGAGGTGGAGAGGAGGCTAGGGTTTTGGTAAAAGTTAGGTTAGGATGGGGGTGATGTGGTTTAATCAAAATTCTGAAATTAAGATCAGATTTTGAATAAATTGGGAGGGAAATTTTTTGAAATTTGAATCCAAATTGAATGCAATTAAGGCATTAATGGAGGCTTAATGGGGTGGAGTCAAAGAGGGGCCGGCGGTTTGGAGAAAGATGAGTGAGAGGTTGCAAAATTGAAATTAATTTCAGTTTTAATGAGATTGGGGGGAAAAATATTTGAAATCAAATTTTGGATTTCAAATAAGGGGAGAGAGTAATTGAGCAATTAATGGGGAGCCCAATGTAGGGGCCGGCGCATCATGAAGGAGGGAGGGAATTTGGGAGAAGGTGGGGAGGTTTTCAAATAAGCAATGAATATTAGGAAAGAGTAAAATAAATCCACTTTGATTTATTTTGAAATTGGACTCATGAGCAAAAATTTCCTAATTTGGATTTTCCCTAAATGGCAAGAATTTGAAATTCGAAATTTGAATTCCAAAAATTGAATGTTAGGGAGAGGAGGGCCGGCGGGTGGATGGCTGGCCGGCGGGTGGGAAGGTGGCCGACGACTTGTGAGCCCAAGTAGGCCGGCGAACAAAGTACATGCGGAAAGTAAAACCACTATTCACTAGAACTCACAAAGAGATCTTGGGAAATTTCATGAACTCACAAAGAGATCAACAAGAGAAAGAAATTTCATTCCATCAATAATCCTCATGCATAAGAAAATTTCCATATATATAGGCCTCAAAATGATAATAAAACAAAAGACTAGAATGCCCCTTGGGCTACAATAGCGACCAACTACCCATAAGGGCAAAAACGGAAAAACTGAAATAAAATTATTAATACATAAAATGCTAATACATAAAATGCATCAAAAGTAAAGACTCTCCATCATGGCCATCGATCTCCTGTGTCGGCTCTGATAAACGCGTCGAAACCTCTTGTTGATGTCCCCATCAGTAAAAGATGGTAATAGAAGCTTTAAGCTGGGTGATGGTGTAAAAAATTATTTTGTAGATCTGTTGGAGTCATCCTTCATGCTTCCTCTAGAACGAAGAACGATATGAAGTGCTTGGCGTGATGAAGAAGATGGGGGTAGAAGTTAAAGCACAAACATGACGAAATAAGGTGTGGGTGTGGGATAAGGACAACGTTTACATGTGCAACCAACATGGGTGAAATTTATAGGGAAGCTGGTGAGGCTCAAATACCAATGAATAGCTGTGATGCATTGAGAATGAAGATGCGTGTGTGTGTCTTTGTGTGTGTGTGTGTGTTTTTTTTTTTTCTAATTAATACTGAGAAGGGATATGATGAATCCGATATAGAAGAGGACAAGCGTGTTAGAGAGAAAAAAGGGTTTGAGGAGATAGATGAATGGACACACCTCAAAGGGAGGGTGGCACGGGTAGCAATGGAGAAAACTAGGAGAAATCTTGGAAGAGGAAGAAGTCCCAAATGGGAAGGCCACAGGAAAATCTTTTGTTCAATTCATCATCAACTAAATTATTGTAAGGCACTTTGCTCTATTTATAGAAACAACATTATCAAGATAAGATCAAATTTAAATATATTCCTTTTCAAATTTAGGCCTAAAATTATTGAAAAGCATACAACAACAACAATAGACAACTAAGACAACAATAGACAACAACATGAAGCCTTTATCCCACTATGTGGGGTCAGCTAATCCTTTTTTTCCATTGTGTCCGTTTAAGAGCCAAAAGCATATTAAATCTATATTCTTAACTTAAAATAAAATAACTGCCTAAACAATAGACTTCATCTATTGTGTAGCATCACATACTATGTAGAAGTCCATTGTAATTTGACTGTTCAGTCTAAGTTAATTCCATGCTATAAGTGATTGGCTTGGCACATTAGGGAGAAACTTGCTATGCCTTTCTATGGCTGTGAGAATAGTCTATAAAGATGCTGATTGCATGCCAACATTTTAACTGTTGATAACACTAGGGATTCTGTTCCGTGTTAACACTGTAGTTAGACAACTATTTTTAGCTGAACTCATTTGCCTTTCTATCGAACACGCATGTTATTTGGGTGTGAAATCCTTATGATGATATTCTTGATCTATGAAATGAATGCGTGCTTTACAATATATCCCGGTACCCCTTTTCATATAACAAACTCTATACCCTTTGGTTGAAAGTTACCAATCTTGGATAGAAGCTCCAAGTTGTGAACATATTCTTACAATGGTTTTTGGCTTCTAGAACTTAGTGAATCATGTATATTCAAGTTCTCTGTTTTTTTCAGTTTTCCATGATAGAGCACAGTTTCAAGGTTTTCTGTCCTTTTATATAACTTTCCATAACATGGTTTGTACTATCTGTTTTACCATCTCTCTTGTGCTTATGAGGAGCATTTCTATTCAGGTCGGAACAACTATGGGATACTGTAATAATTTCAAATAATCACACTGTTCCTTTTTAATTGTTTGTTTGATTTGCAAATATGCAGATTATTGCTCTTCGAAGAGCGAAGAGGAGAAATATGGAAAGACTAATATTGGCTTGTGGCGGTGAAGCTGTTAATTCAGTTGATAGCTTAACCCCAGATTGTCTTGGTTGGGCTGGGCTTGTTTATGAGCATGTCCTTGGGGAGGAGAAGTACACTTTTGTTGAGAACGTGAAAAATCCTCACTCTTGTACAATTTTGATTAAAGGTTTTTGATCATCTGCACCATTCCCACTCTCTCTGGTTGCCCTTTTTTTCAATATAATTGTGGTTTGCAGTTTTATCTTCCATCATTTTCTTTGTTACCATTGGTATTCTGTTTAATGCAGGACCTAATGATCACACAATTGCACAAATCAAGGATGCTGTACGTGATGGTCTCAGATCTGTTAAGAATACGCTTGAGGATGAGGCTGTTATACTGGTGAGACATTGGAACATTTAGTCTCTTTTAACCATTCATTTTTAGTGTCTTGTTACCTGCTCTGTTTGGAATTTTTTGGTTCTAACTTTTTGCAAGAGATGATTTTTGTAGATAATCTTACTGCTAGTCCCTCTTACACCGTCCAGCTAACTAGAAGAATTCTGCCTGTGTCATCATTATACTGAATTTATAATTAAGTTATTTTCATTAGGAAATTATTTTTTTAATGTTCTTTGTGTGGCTAAAACTTATTTGAAAATTCTAAGGTGGTTCTTAGCAATTCTAATAATTTCATATGTCGAACTTATATTTTTCTTCAATTCTTTTCTTCTCCTTTAATCTTTTTTGTCTTTGATGATGGCCTTTTCTTTTATTCTTACTGTTGGCTGCTTGAAGGACCGTATGGAATAGCAGATCTCGGTTTTTCTCTAATATGCTAATGCTTATCCTTTCCCATTCATCTGAACCGCTGCATGCATTGTTTGGAAGTGGCTGAGTGTAAGCATATATTAATTAATATGATATTAGTGCTAGTGGAGTACGTGAATCTTATTAGAGGCCTAATTAACATATTTTAATTAACATAACTTATTTTAAATTAACAATAGTATAAACATTAACCATAGTTTATTAATATTGACAATAACTTTTAATTACTTAATTCTTTAACAATAACCTATTAATTAGTAGAACAAGAATCTATTTGTTACCCATAATTAATTGCTAATCATAATTAGAATTTAATTAAGAAAAAAATATTTGTAATCATACCTGAAATTTAGGTTATTACGTTAGTGAGGTCAAAAGACATCACCAGGAACTCATAATGCTGTCCCTCATGCATTCTGAAAGCAATCTTCGACACGTCCTTACTTTTCATTCGGATGTGATTGTACCATGACTTCAGATCTATTATAGTGAAGATAATTTTCCCACTCAGCTCATCTATTGCTAGGATGAGAAACTTGTCTGACACAATTTTCTTATTCACAGCCTTGCAGTCCATGCAGAACCTTCAACACATATCCTTTTTCTTAGCCAATAGCATTGAACTAGAAAAAGGGCTCACACTAGGCCTGATAATCCCTACCTCCAGCATTTCTCTGATCAATTTCTCTATTTCATCCTTCTGAAATTGAGGGTAACGGTATGTCCTTACATTGATGAGTGACACCCATTCCTTCAGGGTGATAGCGTGCTCCTGCTCCTTAGGCGATGACAATCCTTGAGATGGTTAAAAGACATCACTAAACTACTAAATCAATGGCTATACCGAAGGAGGAATGACTCCACCCTTCTCCAATCTGATCCCCTCTAGCCTCTGTAGCTTCACCAAGAAACCTTCCTGCAACTCATGTATACTTATCACCATGGTTTTAAGTGACATCATGGCTTTGGATAGCTTCACATCTCCCCTGATCACTACACTTCTACCCTCCACCATCAACTCCATTGTCATTGCTCCCCAGTTGACCTTGGTATTCCCTGAGGTTTGCAGCTATTTCATCCTAGGATGACATCAATGCTCCCTAACTCCAATGGGAGAAAATCCTCCCTCACATGAACCCTCTGTATGGTCGGCACTACACCCCTACATATACCCAGCCCGTCTCCACCTTCCCCTACTTTTTCTCTCTTCACTTTCATGGTACGACTCGGAGTGAATCCTATCACTGAGTTCAGGAAGACCTTTGCCATGTCTAGATGCACTTGTCCTCCTCTTCTACACTTGCCTCACGCCTACCTCCCTCAGTTTTCTAGTCATCACTGACTGAGAACCTGAAGAGTTCGGTCCCTGCACCTGTGTCATGGAGTATACTTCTCATGACATTGGAAGCATAATCCCTTCGCCCTCTCCTCATGCATCTCCCTCTTAGTCAGCCTTTTGAACTTCCTCCCACTTTCTCCTCCTACATGCTTCTCCATTGGGGTCTCGCGAAGGCTGCCCAGTGTCGAACCCTTAGGTGCTGAGTGGTAGTCATCCTATATGGTCGACCTGAATTGTCACCTCTGGCTCCCTTCTATAGGTGCTTTTGATCCTCAACCATCTGAGCTAAAAAAACCATAGCCTCTCCCAAGTCACGAGGTCTCATGACTCTCACTGCTATCCGAATATCTGATTTTAGCCCCTTCATAAAATTTTCCTCTAGAACAGTCTCAGACAGTCAATCCAGTAGACTCGTCAGGTACTCAAATCTCTCCCGGTATTGTTCCACCGAGCCTTTCTGTACTAGGGCAAAGAACTGCTCATAGAAGTCTCATCCCCTGCTATTTTGGAAACGTTCTAGTAAGCACTCTTTGAATTCCTTCCAACTATGTATGGGCCGCCTCACGTCTCTTCACTGGTACCAAGCCAATGCCTTCTCTTCGAAACATAGGCCAACTACCGTCAACTTCTTCTTTTCCGTCAATCCATTGACGGCAAAGTATCTCTCTACCTTGTAAATCCATCAATGTGCATCTTCTCCTTTAAAAATGGGCATCTTTAGTTTTCGGACCTTCGAATCTCCCCCATTTCCCTTGAACTCTCAAGAATTTCTCTTTCCCCACGTGCGAGCGTTCATACCCAAACCCTTCTTCTATTTTTCCCTTATTCCGTCAAAATCAGCATCTCTTTGGCCATAATCCCCTTCCCTTCTTTCCCAATCAGCACCCTATTGCTCATACCCCACAGGTCCACACCTCTCTCCATACCTTCCACGCCTCTCCTCTCTCTAGAAAGGGTCCAGATGGGGCCTTCTTCCCTCTCCCTCTGCGTTCTCCACCTCATTTTCATCCCTACGAATTTTAGAATTCATATTTCTTCCTACCGGCCCTCTTGCCTCCGATGATGCCATCTTTTAGTTTTGATGATTCCATATTTTCTTCACCATTTCTTGAAAATATACGAGAACTTGCCTTCTATGGAGGAAATTCTATCCTCTACTGTTGGTTTGATTTGACACATCTCATCTTCAAGCCGTTCTTCCAAAGTATCCACCTTCTTGGCCGCCATCAATATCCGAATTTTTGTTAGACTCAAAAATCTGGATCTTGACCCCCAAAACAGCAAAAAGCCACGTTTTCGAATGAAAATTTGCTGCAGGAATTCACCGAATCAACCCACAAACAGCTCAGAAAACTACTATGATACCAATTTGATAGGGAACACTTGTAGTTTTTAAGCGAAAGTTATCAATCTTGGGAAATCAGCGATAAATCTCCACAAAACTCTAAACAAAACATGAAAAACAAAAGATATTTTGTATTATTTGATGAAAGGAATAGGAAAATACTAAGATAGAATTGATCCTTTATTCGAGAGGAGGATCTATCCCTCTTAATTCTCTATATGCCGCTACAGCCCAAGAACGCCAAGCACCGAAAAAGAAAATCAGCCACAATCAACATAAAAAATAACGCAAAATAACTAAACAACTCTCTCTCTCTCTCTTCCCTAGGCAGTGGACTCCACCCCAGGGGGCTGGATTTGGCTCCTGCAGATCAGCAGGCCTTCGCCAGGCCTGCTATAGCACCTGATCCATCCCGAGGGTTGGGCCGGTTGGCCGGTCCAGGAGGGACTGGTCTATCAGATTCTTTCCTGGCTATTAATTGTCTTAACACAAAGGTCACTTTGTATATCTTTGTAGCATGAAAGCAAATTGGTTCTTCAAAATTGACGTATATAGGGGAACTATTTCTATAAAGGTTGTAGAGATGATGTCTTTAGTGAGGCTATGTAATTGGGACTACTGAAACAATTGAATGCATCTCTCATATCCATAGACGACCCTTCTATTATTTTTATAAAAAAATATGATGAAATCTTCTGTTCAAATTCTTCAATGCCTACTATTGACAATACTCATTTGCCGCATCTTGGATATTACTTCTCTCCCATTGTGCGAATCATATGAAATCATTGCTTCATAATGTGACGCTTTAAATTTGTTTATAGGGGGCTGGGGCTTTTGAGGTTGCAGCCAGACAGCATTTGATCAATAATGTCAAGAAGACTGTTCAAGGGGTTAGCAACTTACCCACACCTTTATTTTTCCTCTGAACTCAGCAACCTGCTTGTGACTAAGGCTTTATTTGGGACAGCTTTCTTACTGCTTCTTAAAGCAGCTTTTTAATATATAAAAAATAATATTTATTGTTTTAAAAAGCAATAAAAAAGCCGTCACAAACGAAACCTAATTCCTTATAAAAAGAAATCCTGAATTTTCAGCGGGCTCAACTTGGAGTTGAAGCATTTGCGGACGCTCTAATGGTTGTACCGAAGACATTAGCGGAGAATTCTGGCCTGGACACTCAGGATGTCATCATTTCTTTAAAGGTAATAATTCCTCAAACTTGTCTGGTTATATAGAAAGGATCGAGAAACTAAGACCATTTTACATGGTTTATTTGATGATAACAGAATGAACATGATAGAGGAAACGTTGTGGGTTTGAACCATCACACTGGAGAACCAATTGATCCCCAGATGGAAGGCATCTTCGACAATTACTCTGTTAAACGCCAAATTATCAACTCCGGGTACTGTTAAAAATCTTGAAACTTTCAAACCCAGCAGGCCCTTATCTTATTCTGAAGCATTATTTATCTTGTGCAGGCCTGTCATAGCTTCCCAGTTGCTGTTGGTGGATGAGGTAATTCGTGCCGGTCGAAACATGAGGAAGCCAACTTAATTTCAATTTTTGCTCCATTGCCTTTTTTGGTTTTTTTCCTCTTTGCTTTAGGCATGACGCCTCTTAGTTTTTGAGGTGGCTATGTGAATCTACTGCAGCTAATAGTTTTGTTCTGCTCTGATGTGGTAAGGTGTGTGTGTGATTTTGTAGGTGGATCTAAACTTAATTTGTTTGATTTCTGAGTGAAATACTGATCAAATTTTGTTCTGATAATGCACTTTTTGGTCACCTGCTCGAGTAGTAGAACAAATTTGTAGTTCACATAATTCTGTGGTAGTCAGCTTATGCAGTTTTTTATTTTTTGGGGAATCGGAAATCTACCCGCTACCACTCCAAAGGGAGCATTTGATGACGTAACTAATCCATTGGCGGAATTTAGCAAGGCCACCCACCAGCATCGGACCCATATTTGTTTTGCCCCATTGAAGTAGCGAGGCTGTAGTAAAGGGGATTCGAACCCGAGATTGAGGGTTGCTAACCATGCTCGGTTTATGCAGGTTTTATAAAGCTATATTTCTGCTTTTATCTTCCCAACGCGCTGACTTTCCCTTGTTTCTTCAAAATTTGCCTTCTTAGGATATAATTGCTTACAGGTTCCTGTCATTTTCAAATAGCTAAGCAAAAATTTGTTCTTAGAATGCACATTTGGTTCAACGAGTTTGAAAGTCTTCTTCAATTGGACGTTCAACGTATAATTATGATTTATGACAAATAAATGGATGGTCTAAATTGTTATTTTGATCTAAGAGTATTGGGAATAAATAAAATGATTCGAGGTTATTAGGTGTAATACCAAAATTAAATTTATAAGAGATGAATTTAAATAAAAAATATTTAAACTCAATTTAATAATAATAATCCTTTCTGAAAATTTTATTTCAATTAATTTCTTCAAAGGTGAAAACAAAGCACACCCCGAATGATAATGGATGCAGAATGCCGTCTGGAAACTAATAAGAATATATCACGTTAGCAGTATCGAATTGTGGTGTCGAGTGGTATTGAGCAATATTGAGTTGAGGTATCGAGCAATGTGTGACGTGGTGCATTCTGGTTGGTCTTTAGATGGTGATTGGCATTTGCAAAGAATAATTAATCCTGAATGATGAGCATTTGGCTGAGATATTATTTTGTGCTGAGGCCAGACATAGAACGCCTTCTAAAGATCAATCATAATGAGCCAAGTCAATAGTATTGGGCCGTGGTATCGAGTAAAGGGTGATGTGGTGCATTCTGGTTGGTCTCTGGATGACATTTGACAAATTAGTAAGTCCGCAAATTAGTAAGCATAATGTCTCATTTTTTTACTCAATTTTTATCATCCATAAATCCTAAACATAAAATGCCAATAAGTAATCTTAATGAAGATTGCAAAATTTAAAATGACTTCTAACGATTTTTGACAAATTAATCAATAATATACAATAAAGAGGATAAAAGAGAGAACAAACTAAAATGGCTGTGGGTCAACCCTAAAAGCACTTTCTATTCAACAAACAAGTCCTAGGTTAATTTTTATTTTGTAATATTGGATAAGTGATAAAAGAAAAAGAGAGAATACCAGTGTCATATATCCCTCAATTTCTCTTGATCACTTTTTGTCGTTATGCTTTCCTTCATTAAGTCAAGCTATGTCGCTGTGGCACCCAAGTTGGCAGCCTCGGGCTGAAATGGGTAGACACGATCCGACTATCAAGTAATTCAATAATCGGTGAAAAGGTAACACATCTAGGTACTTTATACTGATTAATAGAAGCTCCCCTTGATATAGCATAGTCCATAAGTTCCTCGAAAGTACCGGGTCGTACTACTCGAATCTCTAGCGGCCCGATCGACCTGTCCATGACCCGACTTTGCCTATACACACTATTCAAAGCCTCCTCCATTTCTAAAGAACAATTGTCCAAAATCTCAGCTCCTAGCATTTCCTTTTCCCCTTCCCCTCTCATCATTAGCTCCCAATAAATCACATAATGGCCTGGTATTTCCTTCGTATAAGCTTGGCTAGTATATTCCACCACACTTGCCCCATATGGCTCTACCAATTTTGATGCCCTTTCCACTGCCGCCTGTAGCTCTGCCTCATCTGTTTTATCCGATTCAATGCTCAGTATAACATTTTTTCGACGCACAAATCTGTAAGTAAAATATTTTGATTAATAATCTCCAATTTAAAGGCTGTATATAATATTGCTGAAAGAAATAATTAAACCTGAACATAGGCGCTGCATTGTGGAATCCAGTGACCCTCAGAATATCGCCGACCCGATACCGATACAATCCGGCATATGTAGTGATCACCAGCTCATACTCCTTCCCTTCCTCCACCTCTGTCAGATCCACCGCCGTCGCCGGCGCCGCCGCGTCCGTCGCCGTGGACTCATCACACGGTATAAACTCAAAGTATCCCATATTCGGCATGATTGTATACGATACTTCATCGGGCCGACACATGGGCCTCAAGTTAATCCCAAAGTAGCATTCAGAGGAAGCGTACATCGTACAGGCCATGGGAAGCCCACCACTGTAATACTCGAGCGTCGGAATATATTGGGCCATAGCCCCAGTTACAATAACGTCCAGGTATTTAGTATTGGGCCAAATTCGGGTGACAATTCCGGCCCAATCACCTGACCCGCACTCTCGGATCAGGAGGTCGGCGAGAGCCGGGTCAGGCCGGAGGAAAGCGGCGACGGCGGAGCGGATAGATGGGTCGGAAACTTGGTCAAAGGAGAGCGAGCCGTCGGAGATATCGGCAGCGAGGGAGCGGTAATGGAGTTGGAGGAAGCGGATGGCGCGGAGGAGGCCGGAGGCGAACACGGCGCCGACGCGGAGGACTTCGAGGCGGTGGAGCAGGCCGGAGAGCATTTGGGTGTACATGCTTTGGTGGGAGTCCGGGCAGAGAATGGCGGCGGTGGGGCTGGTGTAGTTGTTGTACGGGTCGAAGGGGCGGTGGCGGAAATGGTGGCTGTTGTAGTAGCTGGTGAGGACCGGGCGGGCCGGCAGCCCGCCCGGCGTTGTGCTTTCGGTCTTCACGAAGAGGAAATAGAGGGCTTTGCCTTTGTCAAGACCTGGAACGTAGCTGTACAAATAATTCAGTATGTATTTTACACATATTTTATTTTAAAGAATAATAAAACGTGGCATCGTTTTACTGGCGTCCAAGCGTAGAGCTACTTCCGGTCACCGGATTAAATAAAAGTTCTTAGGCCCAGCTTTTTTACCAATTTATTAAACATATCAAATTCGGGTTAAATGGATTTATATATGAGCAATTTTAAGTCAGATCTAAACTCGACTCGTTAACCCATTTTGACACTCGTAATATGAAATAGGTGGTAATAATATATTTAAGAATAAAATTAATCATATATTTAGCATTATAAATGACTAATTGGCAAACTTTTAAAATTAAAAGTTGAAATTGAAGAAAACTAAAAATTATTTAAAATAGTTTGAATATTTAAAAAGAAATGATTGAAGTCAAACTCTAATGTTTTAGAAGAATTCCACATCAAAAATTAAAAAAATAATTCTTTACACACCACCCCACATGATTAGCACATGAGCAATCCTACCCACACCCACAGGGTATTAGCCTAAATACTTAAAAAAATAATAATTGCACAAACAATGTTATATTTATAGATATAACAACTTTGTAATTATTTTTATAAAAAGTTATAGCCCTCCCAAACGAATCCTAAATATTTATATTTTTACTTTTTTAGATTTTTTTTGAGGGGCAGTTTCAAATGTTTTCCCAAAAACAAATTTTTAAATGAAAAATTTTTAAAAAAACCTACCGCTTTTCTTACCACAAAAAGCAGCTTTTCTCACCGCAAAAAATAGTCGAAAAGCTATTACAAACAACTTTGCATGTCGTGAGAGAAGTAAACTGCTACTTGTTAAATGTCAAATAAGATAGACTAATTAGAATTCCAAAAGCAAAAAAAGAAAGATAATCAATAAGATAATCTCAGTACTAAACGCAATTACTTGTTAAATTTAATTTGATAATGATGATTAGATTCGTGCGGAGTTCCCCAATTATAATTAATTATATTAATGCACTTCATAAATATAACCAAAATAAATCGAATAAATACAAAAATTATAATTATTAAAAAGAAAAGAAGAAGAAGAAGCTAGCTAACATGTTCATCACCGGCATGAGCAAGCTGTAGAGCAGCTGCCTCCTGTCCAGCTCCTCCTGTATCGTAGGCATCAGCTTTCTCTCCCCAGCTGAAGTTCCAGAGCTGCATTAATAAAATTATTTTTTCAATTTTTTTTTTAATTTTATATATGTTTAATGTGGTAGATATGTAGGTATTATTCAATTTAAATAGCTTATAATATGTTTTGATGTCACTAAATAGAATTTCCAAATTCATCCAAATATGCCATACTGACAATTATATTTGTTACGTGCTAGAAAAATTTATGACAGTTTAATTTTTTATATAAAATTCATAAAAGATTAATTTTTTTAATCATTATTAATATTTATATGCACTAAATATAAATGACAGTATGGTCACAATTGGACAAATTTGGAAACTCTATTTAGAGACATCAAATTCTATTATAAACAATTTAAATTGAATAATATTTATATATCTACCAAATTAAACATATATAGAATTTAATAAAGAAAAAAAGTCATATAAATATATACAATTATCAAATATAAAAAATTATTGGAAATTACGAATAATTTATTAAGATTCAAAAAACTTTCAGTCAAAGAAGAACCTCGTGAGGAACTCGGAGATGGGAACGGCAGATAGAATGGCGGAGCGGTCGCCGTCGGCGATTCGCTGTATCTCTGGCTTAAGGTCCTCGTAGGTGACGATTGGAACCCTCTCCTTGAAAACTTTCCTGTCGGTGGCGCCACTCATGCCGTGTCGCCGTAGATACTCTGTTTCGGCGTTTCGCTCGAGTATCTCGGCAAGCACCCTCTTTTGCACCTGTTCGGCATTCGCCGTCATCTCTTCTATGAACTCAAGCTTCTTGGCGTCGCTTTCGCATGCCGCCGGCCCCAAGGGCTCCGACGATCTCCTCCCCGGCGCCGGCTTCACCACCATTTTTTCTCTCTCCTCTGTTTCTCTGTCTAGCGAGGCGTTGAAAACAGTGTGCGTGGAGAAAAGGCGTGGCCTTTGCGCGTATTTATAGATGAGGAGTTAAAACTTAAAAGAGCTGCTTCTGTCCGTTTTTTGTAAGGAGTCTTTGGTTTTGTTTGGAGCGATTTTTTTATGATATTTAAAAATAAATTTTTAGTATAAAAATTTTAATTTTTATGTTAAAAATTTATTTTAAAAAGTGATAAGAAAATCGTCCCATACAAATTAAAGACACCTTAAAAGAAACGGACAGAAGCAACTCTTTTTATATTAAAAAGCTGGTTTACAAAGCAGTTTCGTTTGCACATCATTAATTGTGTTTTTATAATATTTTGTAATTATTATTATTTATTAATGAATATATTCTCATATTCATTAATATTTTAAAATAAAATTATGTCAAAATAAATAACTTGCATAATAACAAAAAATATTAAAAAATGTATAGAAAAAGTATAGCACACAAGTCAAATTTTATATGGTTCAGCTCTACTCCACAAATAAAAATCTAACAAGAACAAAATTCAAGTCTAACAATATAACAAATTAAAATTTTAAATAAAATTGTAATATCTTATTGCTTGGGAATGTTCTTTCTCATATCTCTTAAGCTTGAAATTTTGATCTTGATAATAATTTGAGAGAATTTTTAAATAATTTTTATTGCTCTCCTATTCAAAAAATGATTCTCTTATTTATAGTCTTTGATTTCTTCAAAAAAAGCAATTAATAATACTCAAAATTTTCCAAAAAAATCAAATTTAAATTCATTCATTTAATGTATAATTATAATTGTACAATGATGTTGCAAAGAATAAAAGGAAATAATATTAAAGCATGCATAAATTAAAGATATTTGCTATAATGATTTAGTTATTTCTATATTATATTTCATTTAATAAAAATAATTTTTTTTTTGTGCTATAGCCAATTGAGTGAAAAATAAGTTAATATATTCTATTTATTATATATAATTATAAGAAAATGTTAATATAAGGGTTTGAATTGAAACTTATAATTTTTTAATTTATTAAATCAAATAGGTCATTTGTAATAGCTATTAATTATTCAATTCAATAATTTTTTTTTTGTAAATCTAGCTTTTTCTAATAATGTATTAGAGATAGGTTTCAAGGAAGTTCAATATCTTACCTAATTTTCACGGTTTCAACCGTGATCATCTTCATTAAACATAAGCTCTTTATGTATATCTCCCCCCCTCTATTTGAGTCCAAAACTTTCGAGATTTTTATCATATATCTCATAATTCTTCGTCATTTATTAGATATTACAAGTTTATTTTTAATTAATTTTTCCTTCATTTAAGTTCTTCAACTAATTTTTATTTATGGTATTCATGTTAAGTTGTATTTTTTCTTCTCTTTTGAAATATTTAGTCTGTATATGAGCATTACAAAAATTACAAACTCATGATATTTTAGATTGGTTGCTTTCAATGAAAGAATGCATCATACTTCTTATAGAGATAAACATGAATAGTTTTGTTACAGTGATGGTTGGGAGTTAGAGATAATGTTGATGGCGTGTATTAGCATATCAACAATAGCAGGTGATGAAGCTAGTAGGCATTGGAGTAGCCAGGCTATGCTGGTGAAGAGATTGTAGGTCGATGGATCATAGTTGGGTAAGAAAGGTTGGAGGACCAAAGTAGACGTGCAATGGAGGTTGGAGAACTATTGTTAGTGGGCGACGGAAGCCAGAAGGATTATAATCAGACGATAGTTAAACGTGGCGGTCAGTGGATCATACTTGGTTGATATTAGTCCAAGGACCCTAGTCGGCAGACAATTGAGATCAAGAGAACTTTAGTCGAACAATAGCGGTCGGAAAGGGTTTAGAGTTTAGGGTTATGTTTGTTTACATAAAGTAAACATCTCCTTTATATTTTGTTTGGATTATTTTACTCCAATTTTTTTTTTCTTTTTGGCCAAAATGGCACTACAACTTTGACAACTAATCCCTCATCATTGAGTCTATCGGCATCAAGTCCAAGCTTGGCCAAAACACTATTGTTGATGACAAATTAGGCTTCGTTTGGAACAATTTTCTTATTACTTTCTAAAACAGCTTTCTAGTAAAATTTTTTAAAAGGGGTGAAAAAACAGTAGTCAAAAGCTGTCCCATTAGTCGACATTCGAAGCTGGTCGGGCCCACAACAACCATGGGTTGCTAGCTGCAAGTGCAAATTGTGGGCTAGTGATAGGTCTAGTGACCAAAAATCTAATTTATTAAAAGTATGACTTTGACAAATTAACATAGGTTTTTTTCTTTCTTTTTGTTCATCAAATTTTTTAGCATTATGTACTTTTAATTTTTTATAAGAAAAATTAAATATATTTTTTGATAGGTATATATCATTTTCATTTCCAAATTTTCATAGAAGGTGGAGAAACAAAATGAGGAAAAAAATTGCATGCCTTTGGATTAAGGCCTTCATTTGGCAAAACTTTGGAGGGTCTTTGATATTTTTTTATTTTTATTTTGGCTCTATTCAGTTTAAAAAATCTCATAGAGGAAAGATCAATTATTAAAATTGTATGAAATTCTACAAGTTAGGCTTCGTTTGGAGAGAAATTATTTTGTGCGGACACTAGACGACCCAAAGATCAATCAGAACGCCCCACATCACCCGGTACACATAGATATCCGGCACCAGTACCAAGAAAAAAAGTGACGTGGCCCATTCTGGTTGGTCTCCGGACGCCGTCTGAACTTCGCACATAATAATTTTTTCTCGTTTTAAATGACTTTCTTACTGCTTCTTAAAGTAGTCTTATATAATATATAGAAAAGTTCTATCCATAGAGGACATACACGCATTATTAGCAATTGATGTAGTCATATAATCTCCTCAAAGAAACATTTAGCATATAAACAAACTATAGCTAAGCTCAATAGCTATTTGTATGAGAGCAAAGTATTGGAATATAAAATTATAGCCATGTTTGCTTAATTAATAGCAGGAATGACGCAATTGAATGGAGACTGATACCAGACATAAAGGACAAAAACAAAAAAAAAGAATAGGAAGGAAGAAGAGGTTAGCAGACAGCTCCATATACTTGTTTTTTTATTAATCTTATCTATCAAACTATACAAATACATCATGTTGTGTTTGCCATTTAGAGGAGAAATGATAGCAAAGGAGAGGTTAGGGATATATTAAGCTAAGCAAGTGTCATAATCCATGTTATCAAATAAGGTGGCCCAAAGAGCCATCCAAAATAAATAATTGAATAAATTTGATAAATTTTGTTTGTTTGTTTGGTTCAATTTGAGTTTTGTTTGATTTTAATATGAAAAAGGTTGAATAGATCGATCGATTTGATTTACCGATGAGTTTGAAGATAGCTACCTCTTCGAATATGACCATAATCATTTTAGGATATAATATGTGATGCGTGTTAAATAACATAGATTTATTAGATATGTCTTTGATTGATATATAGGTTAATTTCTTCAATAGTATCGATGTTGAGTAATATATATCTTTTTGAGAAAGATGAGGTAAATATAAGAAACATAGACCTCTCTATGCAGCGTCTATGTTATTTAAGGTTTTGTTTGAGATTACTTTCTTATTGCTTCTTAAAGTGATTTTTCAGTTAAAAATTACTTTAACTAAAAATTTTTGTGCTAGAAATCTGCTTTAGAAATCAATAAAAATGCTGTCCCAAATAAAGTATAAGTATTTTAAGGATTGGTACTGAATCACGTAGACCTATCTGTGAAAAAATAGAGGTTTTTTAAATCTAAGCAAATAATAATAATAATAATAATAATAATAAATGAAAATTAACTAGGCAAAAATAATGTAATTCCACCAATTTCTATCTAGTCTACCTTTATACGATCAACTCATTTCAATTAGCTTCCAAATTCTAATTGATGTCGAACCATGTCGCCCGCTACTTTCAAAGTATGGTTACCATAAAAAAAATCCTAAATTTGAATGCTTCATGTGTCATGCAACATGTATGACTCAAAAAAAAAGAAAAAAAAAAGCAACATGTATGACTCATGATATGGTAGTTATGTGCATATATCTATGGTTGCAACTCATGTCACCCACACAGACATAAGACAATACTCTCGTTATCACACATTATAAATTCCACACATAATGCAGCTGCAAATTCCAATCATTCAACCATCATGCCTTCAAGAATCATTCATTATTGCATGTGATTATTCTCACATGAATGAAATAATCAATATATATAGAATAGGATGACTTGTTGAATTTCTTATGAGATAGGGCCAACCACCAAGAGAGGTAAGAGGGGACCTTTGCTTCTCATATTGGTGCTTGCTAAATATTTCTCTTACTTGTGAGCCTTATCTCATGCATTTCAAAGTCTAAGTATAGATTGAATAAATAATATCAAATGGAGAAAGGGAAAGCTAACCATCCAATAATAATTTGAGGAGCTTTTGTACTCTTGTGGAGGGACAACAATTCAATGAAGGTGTATGGATGGTTCATTAAGACATAAATTATTAGAAATTAGGTAGCTTACATTTAATTACAATTTGCTAACTACAATTACATAATTAGATAATTAGTGCATGATTAAGCTTATGAGATAATTAAAAACAAATCCTATATTCAAAAGCTTCATATAAAAAATGTGTAGAAGTTGGGTATAACTTGTTTGAGAAGTTTGTATTGTCCCATTAAATTCTTCTAGAAAATGTATAGTCAATGACCAGAATTTGTGGATGTATAAATGAGCTAGGTTTCAATAGATTTAATTATGCATATTGATGATGTATTTTTTTATATGTTATATTAAATAAAATCAACATATAATTATATATAGAGAAATTAATACAAACTATATAAATCAACTACACCTATGCTCATTGACTTGAAAAAAATGCACATTCAGTATAATGATTTTGATTTTAATAAGTTTTAATTAAAATTAAAATTAATTTTT